AAGAAAACAGCTAATGCCAGCTTGATTAATGTCAACCCTACAGGGCAAATTGGGTTTCTCAGGCTATAACTTTATTTATGGGAGGTAGACTGCCTTATATTTCTTCTGTGGACTGGCTGGTGGATTTGATTAGCAACCCTTGTGATTAGCAGCCCAATGCATAACTAACTCACTATGTTACCAGGCTCCTTTAAAGTATAGAAATTTTTATGTTTATTTTTTTCTGTTTTTCTTAGCTATCTTTATCACTGCATAAGAAATATCAATTTAAAAACAAAAGCAAATTAGCTTCTATTTTAAATTTATATCCTTAAACATCAACATAAATGGAATTTCTGTACAAGATGTTAAAAATGTGTATGAGAAAAATCATGTGGGAAGTAAATAAGCTAAGTACTCTTTAGAATCTTCCTTTCAAAAATACCCATTTTTTCTTCTTCTTTGCTTTAGAAGTAGAACAGACACCCCTTCAAGAAGCTTTGAATCAACTGATGAGACAGTTGCAAAGGTAAATGTTTTTCCAATATTTTCATAATATGGAAATAGCAGAAAGTATAGGGTTCGCCACACCACTTCTCTCTCTCTCTTTCTCCTTTCTTTTTTTTTTTGACTACTTAAAGCCATAGTTTTGGCCTTGATTTGAATATACTAGATTTATAATTGGATGGTAAATATTTTGTCAGGTAGGAAAAGTACTCCAAGAGGTTGACTTAGATGTTCTCATTTGGAGTGTTTTAACTGGCAAATTGAAGACTGCTATATAATACTTTTAATGGCAACGCTTAAATATTTCATCTGAAGTAATTGCTATTATTATATCTTTAAATAGAAACAACACACTGATAATTGCAGTTTTGCTAATATGATTTAAAAAGTTAATGAAACGATGAAAGTGAAAGATCATAGAATATTTTCACAAATTTTTTGAACCCCCTTCAATTATTAAGCCTAGCTGTAAAATATACCATGAATTAGATTTGAGCCTTCTTTTAAATGTAGAAATTTATTCTAAAAATGTCAATGTCTAGGTTAAACTAACTCAATATTAAAATACTGTTATACCCCCTTTACTCAGAATTTCAAAGACATTTATAGTGTATTTTAAAATGACAGAGTTCTAAGGCATGTGTTCTAATCGTGACTTTGTTCTCAACTGTGTTATACTTTTATGTTAGCCTCAGAGTGCATTGTAAGTAATTTTTAAAATATACCCAGCCTTTTTCTTCGTTATCTAATAAGTACAGCTATGCCACACTTACCAAAAATGACGACTTTGGACATCAACTAAGTCCATATGGAAGAAGTGCAGCAGGCTGTGTGATCCAAAGATTGTAAATAATAAAATCCAAGTCTGAAGGAGGAAATGGTATCGGTTTAAATTGTGAACACCCATTTTGCAGAAGGCTATGGATGATGGTGGAAGTTCAATCCATATCCAGGGCCCCCATATGGATTAAGCCTCTGATAAATCCCTCAGCGCCTAATAGAGGGACATGAATAGCCTTACTGTCAGACAGAAAGCATTGTTGAATCATTAATGGCAGATGTAGTGTGGTTAAAATGTGTAATAGCTGAGCCATTTTTCTCTCTCTTGACCCATTCTAAAGTACTTTTAGCTTTTTAATAATTTCTACTTTCCTTTTGATCAAGATTTACTGTTTTGTCTAGTTGTCATTGTTTTTTCCTTGTCTTTTTTTGTATGATTTTCTGTATATAAAATTCTACATAGATTAATCTATAGATAGAGTCAATGGATTGCTAATTGCCTGCAAGCATGGCAAGAGGAGTGGAAGAAAATGAGGGAACTAACAACAATAACTATGAGAAGAAAATATTCTGAAATTGATTATAGTGATTGTACAGATTTTAATATGATTGAATGGCTAAAGTTTATGATATGTGACATATATGCCAACAAAGTGTTTAAAAGACGTATGGTTTTAACAAGCAGAATTTATTCTCAGTTTAGGAGATAGACTACAAATTCAGACTGCCAGCACCAGGAGAAGACTTGCTCTCTTTGCTGGCTCTAGAGGAAAGTTCTTGTTTCATAGAGATCTGCAGTGTCTTGGCACTGGTCTTCCCTAGGTCCAGGAGTTTCTCAACATTGGGACCAAAAAAATAACATTTTCTGTTCCCAGCTCTTCTTTCTTGATGCTAGTCGGGTTTGTCCTCGTTGTTTGTTTATCTCCTTTTTTCTCTTTTAAGGTAAAAAGTGATACAGGCCGCACACCAACATAGTTCCCATTACATAGACTCTATGACCTGAGTAAGGGTATTTTATTCCACCTTAATCTCATTATAGATGATTGACCACATCAAATGACAACAATGATTACATCATTACAAAAACTATGAAACCTTCGAGAAATATGGTCCACCCAAATTGACACACATTTTTAGAAGACACAGTGTAATCCAGTGGTTCTTCCTAATACCACAAACGTTAATACAGTTCCTCATGTGGTGACCTCCAACCAAAAAATTATTTTCACTGCTACTTCGTAACAGTCATGTTCCTACTGTTAAGAATCATAATGTAAATATCTGATATGCAGGATATATTTTCATTGTTACAAATTGAACAAAATTAAAGCACAGTGATCACAAAAACAAGTAATTATATATTGTGAACTATTTCTAATTACAAGAAAATGAAATTTTATCTTGAAGCATGGTGTATCATGGGTTAACAGTCTTCACACCAGGTACACATGTGGGTGTATCTGCATGTGGGCGACCCGTCTGGAGATGCATAGAGAAGTGGTGTCTTGGTTCCTAAGACCTTCGGAAATATGTGTTTTCCGATGGTCTTAGGCAACTCCTCTGAAAGGGTCCTTTCAATCCCTAAAGGGTCGTTCAACCCTTAAAGGTTGAGAACTGCTGGTGTGATCCATGATAGCCTCTAAATCTCTATATTTTCAGCCTAGGGAATCCAGAGGCAGCTCTACTCTGTCTTACAGGGTCACTATTAGTTGGAATCTAATTGATGGAAGTGAATTTTTAATGGTTGGTATACTTACTGTGTTTAGTGGTTTTTTGGAGCCTTTTAGGTATCTAAGAATTACAGCCCACTAGCATACAATATATTGTTAGTACTGTTGGAAGTCATTTGTGTAAAGATCACTTGGAAATCAGGATAATTCAAGCACCCATTAAACACCTTGTTTCTGTTGGATGCTCCGCTGATTAGTCTCTTAATAGTTTTGGAGTTATTAATTAGAATCAACAGCTCCAGGGCCTGAACCTAATATTTGGGGTAACAGCTACTATCACACCAAAAAAGAAAGAGCTTAATAATTGTTCGTTACAAAGCTGAATGGGTGCTGAATATAGAGCGATTTAGAGGCTATCATGGATTACACTGTGTCTTCTAAAATGTGTGTCAACTTGGGCAGACCATGATTCTCGATGGTTTCATGGGAGCAGAAAGCTTCATCTCCTTACAATTAGCAGCCAGTGATTAAACCTCTATGCCATTAGGGTTACATATTTAAAACATAGTGAGCATATAAGTAAAAATGTGCACAGGCCACATCTGACCTCCTCCGGCTACACCAGCCCAAGGCCTATTGCTGTGAGGTAACAATCAGACATATCTCTACCCTTTATCCTCCTTTAGCTTACAGTGCCACCAACTGTTCCTCCCACAGCACTCTACTTCTCTACAGGGTTCCAGAATCTGTTGCAGTGGCCACACAGTACTCACAGATAATCATGACTAAGGGAGTTCATTAGCGAAATTAGCAGATTACCCAAAGCCAAGTTCAGAAAACATTACTTATACAGTCATTGGTCCACAGCAACATCTCTCAGCCACCACTCTATTCTCTTTAGGCCTCAGTTATCCCAAAGAATCCACAAGAAAGCTTTTAGAATTAATAAGTGAATTCAGTAAAATTATAAGTTATAAAATTAACAAGAAAAAATGTGTTGTGTTTCTATACGAGCAGTGAACACAGTCTAAAAAGGAAAGTAAGCAAATAATAAATAGCTGCTCTAAATTGCAAATAGAAATATAACCAAGGAAGTGAAAGAATTGTGTACTGAAAACTGATATATCACTGGGGAAAAAGTTTTAAGATTGGACTGTACACCCCTATAGTGTTGCCATAGTCAGCATTGACTTGATGAAGGTGGAAGTGATGTCCCAGGGGGATAATTGATAATGTTCTGTATCATAAAATGACAGTGATGTCTCCAAGGTGAACCAGAGACATATAAACCATAGATGCATGATGGATTTGGTGCTTGCACATAATACTAGCCCCACTGTAAAAATAATTAGTTCTTATGACATAGCTCTGCTTGATGCTCAAACTCATAATGAGGTAACTGAAGATACGGGTGCTATAGGGAAGTGTGGTGAAGAAACTAAATGGTGACTGACTATCAAGATAATGCCTGGGGTCTTAGAGGCTTGTTTTCAAACAAGCAGCTGTCTAAGTGAAGTGTCAACTAAATCCACATGGAAGAAGCACACCAGACTGTTTGATCCAAGCATTGTAAATAATATCTAAATCTAAAGGAAGGAATGCATCAGAGCTTAAATTGTGAAGATGACCGTGAAAGCCCCAAAATCCGTTTGCATGGTCCACACATGGATTTAGCTTCTGCTGAATCCCCTCTGGTCATAGTTGAGGGATGTGAATAGCCCTGTTATCAGAGAGCAGTGTAAAATCTATCTGGGCAGATGTCATTAGGTCAAAATATAATATGTTATCATTTGCTCTCCCGTTAGACCCAATTTAAAGCTGTTGCAGTTTTATTTAAAGGTGAAAGGAAAATCGACTTGGATTAATTCCCTAATCATTCCCCTTTGACCGTGGACAGGGTTGTGAATAGCTTTGCTAACATACAGATTGTTGCAGATTCAGTTAGAATTTAGCACCCTATCATTTGATCTTCCCTATGATCCATTTAAATATGTTCTAGTTTTTTTTTTTCTTTTTTGTTATTTAATCTTTTTATTGGGACTCGTACAACTCTTATCACAATCCATCCATACATCCATTGTATCAAGCACATTTGTACATTTGTTGCCATCATTCTCAAAACATTTTCTGTCTACTTGAGCCCTTGGTGTCAGCTCCTCATTTCCCCCCCTCCCTTCCTGCACCCCCCTACCTTATGAACCTTTGATAATTTATAAATTATTATTATTTTGTCATATCTTACACTGTCTGACATCTTCCTTCACCCACTTTTCTGTTGTTCATCTAAAATTTGTTCTAGCTTTTAAGACTTTCTGCATTTTTATTGAAATTTCTCTTTTTGTTTTTTAGTTTTTGTTTGTTTTTTAAAGTGTTTCTCTATTTGAAATCTGGAATGGGTAGCATATATACTTGAGTATAAGCTGAGTTTTTCAACACATATTTTATGCAGCTTTTGTGGTAAAATTAGGTGCCTTTCCCGGCACAATCGCTGAAGACAAAATGGGTGCATAAGCAAATGTGGCAAAGAAAGCTGATGGTTCCCCAGCTATCATAGTCTCTGGGGTCTTAAAGGCTTGAAGGTAAACAAGCGGCCATCTAGCTGAGAAGCAACAAAGCCCATGTGGAAGAAGCACACCAGCCTGTGTGATCATGAGGTGTCGATGGGATCAGGTATCCGGCATCTAAGACCCAGAATAAAACCATACCCAAGGTGAATGGGCGGGGAGGGGATGAGCCAGGTAGGATGTAGTGGAGAACCAATGCTCATCTGTAGACAATTGGACATCCTCTCACAGAGGGGTCACAGGGAAGAGATGAGCCAGTCGGGGTGCAGATGAAACACACAGCTTTCCTCTAGCTCTTTGGTGCTTCCTTCCCCCCACTACCATGACCTCAGTTCTACCTTATAAATCAGATTAGACCAGAGCAAGCACACTGCTACAGATTAGAGCCCGCAACCCAGGGATTCCAGAATAGAAAAACCCTTCAGGGCCACAATGAGAGTAGAGATACCAGGAGGATTAGGGAAGGGGGAGAAAATTGATTACAAGGATCAATCTAGAACTCCCTCCCAGGGGTCAAATAATGGAAAAGGGGGTGAGGGGTGACAGGATGATATAAGATAAGGAAAAAATAATCTATAACTTATCAAGGGTTCATGAGGGAGGGGGAAGAAATGGGAAGCTGTTATCAGGGGCTCAAGTAGGAAGAGAATGCTTTGAAAGTAATGAGGGTGGCATATGTGCAAATGCACTTGAAACATTGGAGGAATGTATGGATTGTGATGAGATGTAAGAACCCCCAATAAAAGTATTTAAAAAATAGGTGCCTTGGCGGATATTCAGGTCAGCTTATACTCACGTATATACAGTAAATCTATAGAGCAAGTATATTAATGTTTCCTTAGGTGTATGGCAGGTGTGCTTGGGAAGGAAATGGGGAGCTAATAACAATGAATACAAGAATGAAGAAAATATTCTGAAAGTGATTGTGATGATGATTGTACAACTCTTTTTGATATGATTGAACTATTGTATGATATGTGAGTTTTATGCCAGTAAAACTGTTGTGGAGGGGTGGGGGAAGATTGAACTGTACAGGTGGATCTCACCAGATCGACCAAACAGGAACCAAATTGACTGCATCTATGGAGAGCTTCATTATTGCCAGTCAAGAGAAAGCCAGGCACCAGTTGTTCATGTGCAAGTTCAAGTTGTAAGAAAGTCAAGGCCAGTCCATAGGAATCAAAGTATAACCTTTAGTACATCTCACCTGATGTATTTACTCACTTTTATGACTAAACTTAGTTTGACCCAAGCCATAATCTTTTCTATCACCTCATGCCTATAAAAGTTAGGCTATATAAAAGGAACATCAAAGAAGAATTAATGCATTCAAATTATAGTATCAATAAAGACTAGTGAATATAGTTTGCACTACCAAATTTTTGATAAAATCAGTCTTATAAGAAATAAAATCAGATTAGTCCTTAGAAGCAAAGATGGTGAGACTTTGGCTTTCTCACTTAGATGTATCAGACCAATTACTCAAAAAAGACATGGTGTTTTATAAAGTAGAGGGTAACCCTCGATAAAGTGAATTGTCAGTGTAATACAATAGCCATGACAGTGGACTCAGATGTTCCAGTGATCCTGAAAGTTGCACAGCACTGAGTGCATTTATTGGTCATATATAGATTGCCATGAGTCAGAGCCAACTTGATGGCGATCAACAACAAATAACTAAATACACCTCGTGTTCATGAACACAAAAACAGTATTAAGTGTCAATGCTGTGTTTTAAGGTTTAATATGATTCCTATCAAAATGCCAGTAGATGTTTTTTACAGAAAGGGAAAAGCAGATACATAGTTTCATACAGAATTAAGAACCCTGCAAAGCCAAAATAATCTTCAAGAAGAACAAAGGAGGATACCTCCCATGCCCTGATTTCAAAACACAGTGCGCTACAGTTACCAGAACTATGAGGTACTAGTAGAAAGATAGACATGCAGACCAATGGAATAAGTTGACAGTCCAGAAATACATGTATCTGTACTAAATTAATTTTTGAGATAGGTACCAAGTTCATTCAATGAGTAAAGAATAACTTTTTTTTCCTTTTTTTTTGTGAGTGAGGCAGTGAGGGAGTGAGTGAGTGAGGCAGTGAGAGAGTAAGACAGTGAGTGAGTGAGGCAGTGAGAGAGTAAGACAGTGAGTGAGAGAGTCAAGAATAACCTTTTTAACAAATGGGGCTGGGACAACAGGATTTCTACATGCAAAAGAAAAATTGATCTCACACCATATATGAAAATGACTGAAAATGGATCAGTGACATACTTGAACCTCTCAGAAGAAAACAAAGCGGTAGTAAACCTTCAGGAGATTGTGTACTGACTTAATGACACAGGTGGGCTGCTCAATGTACACATTGGATTTTTTTAACTCCTTTTGTGATTTTAATGTGTTGAGAACCTTTAACAGAAAGCATTAAGCCTCAAACTTAAGGGTATTAGGAAGACTTTTCTTCAGACCAGCTTTTGAGCACACATGCGCATGCATATAAAAGAAATTGCACTGTTTGAGAAAATGCATATATTCATGGATGCAGTTATTCTGTAGCCCACCGGGAAAGCATGAAAATTGTAGGTGTATATTGTCATTTCCGCCTTTTCTCCCATGATTAGGAGCGATATACAATACTAATCTTCCAAAAGCTAAGTTCTTGTTAGTTTTAAGTCACTTCATTTTCCAATTTGTATGAGGCGCTATTTATTAATTTGGCTATATATTTAAAAAGAAAAGTTCTTTTAAGGGTATAACTAGTGTTAAATAATGTGAACTTGTTATTAAGTGGTCATTAATATCTTTCTTTCCAATTTTCAGTGAAAAATGTGTTGGCATACTCTAGATTCTTTCTACATCTAAAGAGTTGTACTTTTCATAGACTAGTATATTTGTTGTAGGCAAAATAAATCACGAAATTATTTTTTTCATATCTTTACAGAAAAGACCCAAGTGCTTTCTTTTCATTTCCTGTGACTGATTTTATTGCTCCTGGCTACTCTATGATCATTAAACACCCAATGGATTTTAGTACTATGAAGGAAAAGATCAAGAATAATGACTACCAGTCCATAGAAGAACTAAAGGTAATTGTAATTATATCTATTTTGATTGGAGAAATACACTGCTCTTATACAAATTTAAACTTTCATATCTTTAGCTACTTCGTTGTAAAACTCTTGGATCCTGCATATACAAAAACTTGGAAAAAATCTGGAAATTTGGTATTTAGAATGTTTGCAAATGTTTTAATGTCTAAAATATTTGTGTTTCTCTCTTAGAAAGCTATTTTATGAGCTCAGTGATAGAAAACCAGATAAACTAAACCATCTCCTATATTTTATTTTGTTTCTGGTGAATTTCTGAGTTTCACATGTATTCTAAAATATATTTTCTCAGCTTTTAAAATACAAAGATGGTGTCAGATTTTTGACTTATCACCAGTATAGATAAAATTAATATTTTACTGGAAGTATAATTAGAGTAGGAGCTCAGATGGCATATATGTTGGGCTGTGATCCTAAAGGTCTGCAGTTCAAAACCACCAGCCGATCCTCGGGAGAAAGACAGGGCTTTCTACTTACGTAACAAATAATAGTCTCTGAAACTCACAAAGGTTCTACCCTCTCCTATGGGGTCCTTATGAGTTGCTATCGACTTGATGTCAGTGAGTGAATAGTGGATAATTAGAGTAAAATTTATTTTTCTACTTCTTGATGCTCAATGTGTGTCTCACTTCTTGTGATAAATGAAGAAAATGCTGAAGTTGTCAAGGGTTTTGTCGTTATTGGGTCCAAAATCATTGCTCATGTAAGCATCAAAAGGTAATATTGCTTTAGGTAAATCTCCTGCACAAGACCTCTTTAGAGTTGAAAATCAAGGATGTTACTTTGAGGACTAAGTTGTGCCTGACCCAAGCCATGGCATTTTCAATCACCTCACATGCATCTGAAAGTGTGGAATTGAATAAGAAGACTGAAGAAGAATAGATGCACTTGAATTATGGCACTGGTGAAGAATATTGATAATATGGACTGCTGAAAGGACAGATCAATCTATCTTGGAAGAAGTATGGGCAGAGTGCTCCTTACAGGCAAGGATGGCAAGACATCTTCTTACATACTTTGGACATGTTAAGAGAACCAGTCCCTGGAGAAGGACAGCATGCTTAGTAAAGTGGAGGGACACTGAAAACGAGGAAGCCCCTCGAGGAGATGGATTGTCACAGTGGCTGCAAAAATGGACTCAGGCAAAGGAACAATTGTGAGGACGGTGTGGGAATAGGCAATGTTTAATTATTCCCTGAAGCCACCTATTTTGTAGCATGTTTTCCTTCAACTTTGAGGGAAAAAATAAACTTATTAGTAAAGAGATTTGAGTCCCAAGATAATATATATGCTTTATAGTTGGAGCTTTAATGGTGTAGTGGGTTATACACATTGGACTGCTAACCTCATGGTCAATAGTTCAAACCAGCCACTGGGCATAAAAATGAGGCTTTCTGTACCCATAAAGATTTGTAAACTCTGAAGTCCACAGGGGCAGTTTTCTGTGCCCTTTAGGGACACTTATGCATAATTAACTTGATGGCAGTTAGTTTAGTTAATGTTACAGTTAAAGTTTTGTCCATTATTAAAAGACTCTTGGTATATTTTGATACCAAAGGTACACTTTATTTTATTCTTGCAAAGGCAAGAAACAATCAGTATTTTAAACTTGCTCTGTATCAAATCACTACAAGCATAACTAGTTAAGATATTTTCTACTTTAACTTTATTTTTGCCTTGAATGCTTTAAGACATAAGGTCTGGGCCTTAAATAATTACAAAGGAAAATAAGACTTGAATAATATCTTATCTTTTTTTTTTCTTACCTACATGTAGATCCACTGAGATTTATGAACAACACTAGTGTTTAATTCTATCATCAGTTTTAACTGTATATATTTTTTTTGCTCTGAAAAACTAAATTATGTTCTCTTGTATTCTCTTGAGATAAAAATTTTTTCCCACCATTATTTCTGGTGAAAAATTTATCTAGAACTGTTTTGTTTTCCCAACATATTTCTGACCTATTTTTACTTAATGGAGAAATATTTCGTTGCTTTTTTTTTTTTGAATGGTTAAGCTTTCTCTTAAGTCAGCAAGAGAAGTATGTCCCCTAGATGTTTTTGAGCAAAGTGGATTAAGGGAAATGAATAAGTTTTCTACATGATTACATTTTTTTCTTCTGGGAAAAGTTTAACAGCCTAAAGTATGTTCTAGCTTAGTAGCTCATTAAGTTGTTAAAGTAAATATTTACATGAAATGTGTGCAGAGCAGTTAATCATTTTTTTAAATGACCAAGTACCATTACAAAAATGCCTAATAAAGCCCAAGACATTACAATTAAGATGTAAAGAATCTGTAAATTGCCTAAAGAGGTCAAATGTGTGAATATTCTAGCTCAGTATACTTTTGCTCAGTGTTTACGTAATGTGTGTGCATAATCATGTGTCTCCTTTCTCTTGCCTTTCTCTCCCCAAATATATATTTGATAATTCTTAATAAAATGGAAATATTTTGGGCTAAGTATAAAAGGGATTTTAACCTGGGGTTCCATGAACCTGCTAAAATTATATGAAATAAGTTATATTCAACTCTGTATCTCTTCGAGAGGAAAATCCAAAACTTTGATCATTTTTCTAAATCTAGTACCAAAGCATAACTAGAGAGCTCAATAGAAATATACGTACTTCCATATTCAATAAATTTAATACCAAATTCATTATGAATTTGAACAGTTTCCTTAGATAATTAGAAGTAGAATTCAGTCTACCTATTCTCATTCCATTTATGTGTTTCTAGTTGCCTTTACTAATTGAACAATGAATTTTGACTATTTGGGGAAGGGGGTGCATTTTGTTGAATTTCATCATTTAGCAAGACATTGGCTAATCCCTTTCATATTTATATAATGTGAAAATGACTCATCCATGGAAAAAAATGATGAGATCAAGTTGTCTAGCACATGTGCATACTTTGACATTTAAACCCAAAACAACAGTTGTGATCATTTGGCTACTCTACTTGCTTGAGGCTCCACTCCTCTTTGAGGCTGGATGGCTTATTGTTCACTCAATTTGAACGTGGCAGGAAACATGGCGATAATTTAGCATTCTTTCTACTTTTCAGTCAGGATCTGAAATAATTCCAAAATGGATTGTAAAATGTTTGTGATAATTTTAAAATATATTCTTAAATTAACTAGCCCTGGTGGCTTAGTGGTTACACATTTGGCTGCAGTCTGCAAGATCAGCAGTTCAAAACCACCAGCCACTCCAAGGGACTTTCTAGTCCCTTGGAGTTGCAGTTTTGGAAACCCACAGGGGCAGTTCTGCCCTATCCTATATGGTTGCTGTGGGTTGGCATTGACTCTCTGGTAGTGAGTATTCTTAACTACTCAGCTACAATTATTTTATTAAGTGTGAAATAGTATTTTCTTCTAATTCTTGTCCAACAAAGTTATGCTGAAGACACTCACTTGAAAATTTCATTCTTAAATCTTAAATTTATATAATCACTGTAAAGTATTTCAAATTTTAGGAGACAATGTAGCCTATTTAAATCTGTAGTATTTGTTTCATTGGTGAGTCCTAATTTTTAAAAAGTCATAAGTTGATATTAGTGTTGCTTAGTAAACAGTGGAAGAAGAGGTCTCTTAAAGCTTTAGACCCTCTGTATCTTTTAAAACTTAGGTGGAGAGTTAATTGTTTTGTTTTAATACCTCTTTCTCCTTTATATTCTGTCTACAGGAAAATTTCAAACTAATGTGTACTAATGCTATGATTTACAACAAGCCAGAGACCATTTACTATAAAGCTGCAAAGAAGTTATTACACTCGGGCATGAAAATTCTTAGCCAGGTAAAGGTAACTCTTAAATAATAATTCCTGTAAAATTTGTGTCCCTGTGGTTTTTGGTCATAAGGATATAGTCTAATACACTACTGGTCTTATTTCATTAATAGATCATAATATACTTAAAAATACTGTAGAAAATGTTTTAATAAAGGTAAGATTAAGGCAGGAAGATTTTCATTTGGCATTGATAAAATTAAATGTTGGCATTTACTTATAATTATTTCTGTAGGGGCTCTCGAATTAAAGTTCACCAAATAAACTTGTTTGCTGTGGCCGAGATAATTACGCTGTGAAAGAACCACCAGCTTGAATTCTATGGTGAAATTAGATTAACTAGACCTTTTAGGGGAAAAATTCTGTATTTCCCTTTGTGATGATAGAACCTAAGGTTTCGGATAGTCTTGTACGTCTTTGTGAAACATAAAAATCCAACAAAATACACAAATGGGTTTCAAAACACCCTTTTTATAAGTGCAGAATCTTCTTTAAAAGACCAGAATTGTTAGCACGAGAAGACATTTGAGACTAGATAGAACCCTAGCCACGTCATCATCAAGTGGCATGACTACTGCAGTTAATGGCCAAAAAATTGAGGGTCTTACCAGAGTGACAGCTGATGAAAAGCCTTGAAGGGTAAACTGAGGTGATAACTGGATCTGCTGATAAAAGATCGACTACTTATAAGTAACATTTTTTGAGTAGGCTGAACTATTTGACCAAAACACTACATGTTTTGGTAATACTACCTGTAGAGAAACTAGTCCTTGTGCCATAGCAAAAGACTTGAGTTCTAAATTTCACTGTCTTCCACTGATGGCTTGCTTATTAGGTACGGTAGGGCTCAGTGTTCTCATCTATAGGGAAGAAACCTTTAATCCTGTGGTCTTCAAGGGACTATCCAGCAGTAATATTCTGCTTGCAGATAGGAACTAGACAAAGGAATTATTGGGAAAACAGCAAGATTATTTGAAAAGACAGCACATTTTCAAAAGAAAAGATAAGAGTGTCAGACACAGGGAGGAGAAAGGAATATGAATTTAGACTTTGAGTTTAGACCCAGAAGAGTTAGGGATAGTAGATGAGTCCTAATTATTATTATTTTTTAATTTTAAGTTGCTGTTAGTGTTGCTTAGTAAACTGTAAGGTCTCTAAGTTTTAATGTTTTAAAACTTGGGTAAAGAATTACTGTTTTGTTTTAATACATCTTTATATTCGCTACATGAAATTTTCAAACTAATGTGTATGATATACAATATTATTAGTTTGGTGTAGTCATGATTAGTTAAATATGGTTTTCCAATTTAGTGATTGTATTAGTCTAGGTACTTTGGAGAAACAAATCCACAGCAACTCATGTATAAGAGAGTTTTATGTAAAGAAAAGGTGCATTGCGAAAACATCCCAACCCAATGCTGCCCAAGCCCACAAGTCCAACATTAACCC